ATATATATATATATATATATATATATATATATTAGAATTTCATTAAATCAAGATAAGTAGTTTATGTTGCCAGAAAACAGTCGTGCCTGAACCTCCACTAAACTGATTATTTAGTTTGGAGACATTTGGTGAATATTTGTGCAACTTTAACTTTTCTGTTTAAAAGATCCTTGAAGAACTTTAATTGTTTCCCCCAGATTTAATACAAATTTTTTCTTCATAAAACCAATTTTCAGTTTATTACATTTATCAAATTATTTTAACGTTATTAAAAAAATAAATACTGAAAAGCTTCTCAAGCAATAATTAAAAAAAGACTTAATTTAGGGAATAAAATGCTTTCTGAACAGAAAACTTAATAAAGAATTCTTATTTCAGTTGTATATTCTTTCACCATACAGGCATTCTTTGCACAAATAACTTGATCTCAGCAGATTCACAATTAAACTCATTAGTATACAGACATCTCAATACTTTGTAATTAACTTTTAGAGCCATATTCAAACCACATATTGTGCAATTACAATTCATTAAGTTTAATGTTTTACTATTTGCAAAGCCTCATGGGAAAAATGAAGTTTTTACATTTATCTGGATACAAATCACATTTCTTTTACTGTTCTAAGTGAGCTACAAGAATGCTTCTCAATAAGTGATCCACCTATTAAAAGTTCAGTTTGCTTTATTTACAGTATGCTTATGAAGTTGATAAGTGTTGATAATTTAAAATGATTAACAGATTATGAAAATTAAAAAATTGTTCAGAAAACATCAATGCTTAAATCCAAAAGTACTTTTTTTGCATCAATGCGTACAGAAAACTTTTTTTTCTTCTTCTTTCGGTTGCTCTCTTCTTCAGAGGTTGTCACAGAGAACTAAGTTGCATGAAAACTTGGGATTTGTTTCACGCCAGATGCCCTTCCTGATGCAACCACAGACCACCGAGCTACCACAGCCCTCTGTGTGGAGCAGAGAGCTGCCATCTAGGGTGCTCGGGGGAGCAGATGGTGGGGGTTAAAGGCCTTGTTCAAGGGCCAAAAGAGGGGAAAATGAGAGTGGAGGCAGGCTCAATTCAAGTTCAAGTCAATTTTATTGTCATTTCACCACATGTGGTACATGAGGCGGAACAAAATTATGTACTCAGGGTCTCAGTTGCATCCATCAATAGCAAAAATATAAAGTGTAAAAAGAAACTGTACATAAGATATAAATGAATGAGGTGCTTCACCTTTCACACCCACATTTTGATGTTGCCAGTATGGGGAGTCGAACCAGCGACTCTTCTCTTACCCAAAATGAATAATCAAATTTTAGCAGATGTGTTAAAAGCTGAAAGACACGTGCAGGAAGGAGCTCACCGATCTAAAAGTCTATTAAATTAACTGATGCTGAAACTCAGGGTTTGAAAGTCTAACAAAAAATTACACAAACCAAGCGGGGACAATGACACGACAGCAACATAAATATAAGGAGAACAAACAACAGAAGATGGATGAACTAAACTGAACACCAGGGACTGCAGAGGAGCAAACGGCAAAATGAGGAACAGTCGTGAGGAAGTCCTCAGGTGTGAAAAGGGAAGTAAAAATATATTAAATGTAATGCAGGAATTTAACAAGAGAATCAAACATTAAACTGAGACACAACTCACAAACACAAAATAAAAACTGCACAAAATTAACCATGTTTAGCTTTTTTAAAATTTTTATTAAATTGTGTATTTCCAAATAATGCTCGACATACTTTTACTTACAAACCATTGTTAAAATGTATCCTTTAACCAAGTGTAGTTTAAGCATGTCTTTGATATTTTTGACCAACACTCATACATAAAACATGTTGTGTTCATGGTGTCCATGTAGAATGAACAATAAAATATAGACAATGCATAAACATGCTAAAGTTTTAAACTAAGATCATTCCATGTGGAACAACAACCGATTTGTGGCTATTTTGGTGAAACCTTCAAAATAAAGTTATGCAATTTAAATTATAACTATTTTTGTGTTGGCAAATGTTGATCAGCTGTGGTGGCCATCTTTAAATGGATTAACTCCAAATTTCTATCAGCTGTACATGATTACTTTCTGAAAGTTTCACTGAAACCCCTTCAGTTCTTCATGATATAATTTAGTAACAAATTTAAAATAATGGGAGAAAGTAGCGAGGACAATCTGACATAAAAAAAGAACATACAAAGTATTTTATTGTAACCATCAGAGCATTTTATCCACAAAAATGTCATGATGTTGGGTTTAATGTCTAATTAACTGCACTAGAAATAACAGTCTGTAACTGTTAAGTCCACCTCATAATAAAGAATAGTCCAGATTTTTTGTTGCTTCCCGCCAACTATTTTTGTCCGCCTAAACTCCACCCGTGCAGCCGGCATTATGTCACCTGTGTAATAAAAGGATATGGCTGGGGTGAGAAGTTCAAGTGTTCTCATAGTTCTGCAATCAGTTATGAGGCTGTCAAATGAGTTATTAAAATAGCGTTGAAGGGGGTGTTTTACTATTTTTCTTAGAATGGGCAATTGTTTAAAAATCGTCTTATGCAACACAAAAAAAGGGAGTGTGAGCTGTTTGTGTCTTTGTCACAAAATACAGACTTTACCCTGACTCTACTAAAAGTGACTGTAAAACCTTCAAACTGTGTAAAACTTTTCACATGAAACAAACATTAATAGTGTTTTTTTTCTTCTCTGAGACTGCAGGTATATATTGCATTAGATATTTTCTCTCTGAACTGATTTGACCAGTCCTTCAAATCACCCAGCCGACCTGCGAATAACCCCAGTTTACAAGTCCAAATTAAGATAAGGAGGGGTTGCCAGAAAGTCAAACAGATGAACTTTTCATGGCATGACTCTATCTTATCTCTTACAAGGAAGTGTGGTGTCATGAAAAAAAAAAAAAAACCTAAACGCTCTCCTCTACAACACATGGCTGCGAAACAGTGCAAAGTGGTGCTTCAGTACAAACTTATCAGAAGGACTTAGATAAAAAAAAATACAAAAAGCAAGAGAAATAATTTAATGGTATCTTTATTGGTAAAAGAACAACATCCTCTGTACATGTAGCTTTATCTTGTTTTACCAGCACAACAGTCATATTCAATTGAACAGATTTCAAAGATTAAAGTCTGCGTCAATAATTCACACTTGTAATCAGTTTCAAGACATTTGATAAAAAATACTAAACAAAACGAAAAACAAATCGGCACTGGGAGATAAGAGGGAGATGAGGGTGCTATCGTTCTGTCCCCAATGTGTCAAAACAGAGAGTCCTGTGACTTGAGGAATGTGTGTTGGTCAGCAGCGCCTGTGATGGCGTGGATCTGAAGAAAAGCCTCGACTGAAGAGGTTCTGGTACGCAGCATGGCAGCCAGGGCACTGCCTGAAAAGGAGGCTTCTTCAACAGCGAAGCAAAGTAAAAGCAATGACTAGTGTTTTTCCATTTAATGCAACGTTCTTTGGTCTTACGGGACATTACCTCATAAGAAAGCAGGTGATTATTGGCTGAAGATAAGTGCGGCCTGCTCATCAGCTCCATTTCCTTCAGTGTTTCAGCTTTCCTCCATTTAGCTCTGCGGTTCTGGAACCAGATCTTAAACACAAAAATCAGTTCAATAAAATTACTTTATTGCCAGGATAAATAATAAGTCAACACCGTTTTTATTCACATACAAACAGGACACGAAAACATGAAGAAAACACCAGTTAGTAGCACCAACGTTGATTGTAGCTGTTGTTTCTTTATTCTTCTTTTAAACTGTTTTAAACCTTTACGTTTAAACTTGATACCATGTAAATTAATAAAAAAAATACAATCAAAATGTGGTTCAAATCAAGGTCAAGGTACTTTAATGTCATTCACATCACATGTGGTACATGAGGTGGAACAAAACTATGTGCACAGGTTCCCAGTTGTATCCAACAAAAATACAAATTGTAAAGAAAAACAGTAATAAGATCTAAGATATGAAGATACATAAGATAAATCAAAGCTATACAACTGTTTTGAAGGAAGTAAATTATATTTGACATGAAAACATTCTTTAATTTTCTCCAGTTTTTGCTATAAACAAAGTATTTATACAGATATATTTACATTAAAAAAACATTAATATCTTATAGTCAAATTAGAATTTTAGAATAATTTGGAAGGTAAAATCTTATTTCAGTTGTCATTTTAACAATAATTTAATTCGAGAAAGCCTTGAAATGAAACAAACAACAAAAATTAACTTATCTTGAACATACGGGAAAATATACCGTATTTTTCCGACTATAAGTCGCACCGGATTTTAAGGTGCATTAAGCGAAACAAGTTAATTTTGACAGATTTTTGAGCGCCGTGTACCACACAAAATCGGTTCGAGGTCGGTAAACACAACCAGAATTAATACATAAGGTGCACCGGATTATAAGGCTCACTGTTGATTTTTGAGAAAAAGAAAGGATTTTAAGTGCGCCTTATAGTCCAAAAAATACGGTAAACAAATATTAATCAACAAAAATGATTTTAAGAAGCACTGTGGGTAGTGATGTTATTATATAAAAAATTAACGAGGTTATGTATGTGTCATTTTGACACATACATAACCTCGTTAAAAAATTAACGAGGTTATGTATGTGTCATGGCAGCACGGTGGCGCAACTGGTAGAGCTGCTGCCTCTCAGCGAGCAGGTCCCTGGTTCAAACCCCGGTCCAGGGGCCTTTCTGGGTGGAGTTTGCATGTTCTCTCCGTGCATGCGTGGGTTTTCTCCGGGTACTCCGGTTTCCTCCCACAGTCCAAAAACATGCATGTTAGGCTGATTGGTAACTCTAAATTGTCCCTAGGTGTGAGTGAGAGAGTGAATGGTTGTTTGTCTCGTTTGTCTCTATGTGTCCCTGTGATGGACTTGCGACCCGTCCAGGGTGTACCCCGCCCCTCGCACAGTGATTGCTGGACATGGGCACCAGCGACCCCCGTGACCCAAAATGGAATAAGCGGGTAAAGAAAATGGATGGATGGATGTGTCATTTATTACCTGTTCTGACTGAATTTGTTGAATTTTCTTACCTGGATTATTGAGCATGAGCTTTGATGATACTATTAATTGTTTTCCTAATTTAAAGCCTTACAACAGTACAATGAAATAGTTTTATTTATTGTTAAATGTGTACCTGTATTCGTCCCTCGGTGAGCTGCAGCAGAGAGGCTAACTCATCTCTGGTGTTGATGTCTGGGTAGTGAGTCTGCATGAAAACCGCCTCCAGCTTGTGCACCTGAAACGGTGTGAACGTGACCCTGGTTTGCCTCTTCCTCTTCTGAACTGCAAATACAGAACTGTCACTGTGCTCTTCATCATTAACATCAAACAAACCAATAATCACATTTAAAATAATAATAAAAAAAGCTTTTCTTGCTGAATTCTTATTCTTTCTCTTTATTCACTCACTCTTGCAGTCTGTGGAAGGTTTTGCTGACTCTTCGAGTCTAATTTGTGGAGCTTCTGTTAACAGACAATTTTCAATACTTTAGCTTTTCTCTTATGAAGATTTTGGTAAGAAGAGAAAAAAATTAAACTTACCTGAACATGAGTTGTTCACTTGGCTGGTTTCTTTTATGACGGACCAATTTCGCAAAACGTTCCCCTCACTTCTGATAAATGCAGGTTTTCTAAGAATTTCTTCAATCGAATGAGATATTTTCTTGAGGGGCTGTGTTACCCTTTCTTGATCCATACGAGACTCTCTTGTCTCTTCCCTTGTCCACATGTTCATCAGTTTAACTCCCACCATCAGCTCGTGTGGTCATAGCATGTTCAACTTTAAAAAGCACTATTTATTACAATAATCTGTCCTGCTGCCAAAAACACTGTCAGGGTGAGAAAACTGGAGTCTAGTTTCTGTAAGGTGGGGACAAATGGGTGTCCTCTCTCCCTTGTTAGTCTTTGATGCCTGTCACATGGTCATTATGGAGGCGGAGCAACTTTAAGTTTCCAACAGCAACAAAAAAACAAACAAACAAACAAAATATACCTCCCAAAAACAAACAAACAAAAAAAGGATATAAATTATTTCACTTTTTGTGTCTCAAAAAGAAAAAACAGCGTTATTGTTTTTAGGATATGCACATTGCAAATGTGTAATCTGACTTCTTTTTTATATTTAACTTTTGAATTAAAACAATATATATATATATATATTTTTTTTTTTTGCAGTGAGGCTGCAGTTCCTTCTGCAGCTCCAGACTTATAACTCCCTGCTTTGTACAACCAACTGCACACAAAGTAGCCACAGTTTGAAACTGACTCTTCGATAATATTCAACTATCACATCCAGATAAGTTGTTGCTTCTCTTTCTTATCACTTGATTTATTGCACAGCAAATTTTTATCACTTTGGCCTCAATGTGCCTCCTCACACACTGGGTTACTTGTTCCAGCTTGAAACAGAAATCTGTCAGGACATTTGATTGAGAGGCTTTTATTTGGGTTGATAAAGAGTTGATCTCCATCTAGTGGTTCAGAGGTCTCAGTGAACGAATCAGTGCTTATCTAAACACGCATGTGACTTTCATTACAATTCAGTTCAGTGCAGTTTATTTATATAGCACCAAGTCACAACAGAAGTCATCTCAGGGCACTGAACAGAAACATTCATATAAATAAAAAGCAGGTTAACAACATTTATCTGAGGAGCAGACTGATTTGAGTTTAACTTCATCGCAGAACTCTCATCTTGAGCATGAAGGCAACAGTGGAAAGGAAAAACTCCCTCATGAGGAAGAAATGTCCAGCAGAACCAGGCTCAGGACAAGCGGTCATCTGCTTGGACTGTCTGGGTTTGAGAGGACAGGAAGGAGGAACAGATACACAATGGCAGGTCGAGAATCACATGTTAAGATAGAAATAGTATCAAATGAAAACTTTTCAGTTTTAACAGTTCATTTTAAGTAATGAGTTCAATTTGTCCCCTAGTAGTCTAAGCTTATGGCAGCATAACAAGCCAACCCTAACTATAGGATTTATCAAAAAGGAACGTCTTAATCCCAGTCTTAAAACTGGACAATGTGTCAGCCTCATGGACAGAAACTGGAAGTTGGTTCCACAAGAGAGGAGCCTGATAACTGAAAGATCTTCCTCCAGTTCTGCTTTTGGAAACTCTAGGAACCGCAAGTAAGCCTGCAGTCCAAGAGTGAAGTGCTCTGTTAGGAAAATATGGAACAGTAAGATATGTAATATAAGATGGAGCTAGGTTGTTGAGGGCTTTGTAGGTTAGAAGTAAGATTTTGAATTCAATTCTGGACTTGACAGGGAGCCATTGGAGAGAAACTAAAACTATATGATCTCTTAAATGAAGACTTTTTAAAGAATATTTGGACACCCAGATAACTAACCATTGCAATAGTCCAGTCTAGACGTGACAAATGCATGAACCAGTTTTTCTGCATCATTTTTAGATAAGATGTTTCTAATTTTAGTGATATTACGCAGGTGGAAGAAGGCGGTTCTAGTAACGTAACGTAGTCATCTGTTGCATTTTGATAAAGTCCTATATCTATAGTCTGAGTACTAATAACTCAAACATTTATAGTTGGACTGTTTTAAAACAATTCAGAGTTTTGAAACAAGAAATCTAATTTTCAGGCAGGCATTCAGTAAGTTAGTTTTATAATTTTTATTTTGGTGCCATTAAAATTAAAAGCATTATCTCTGCAAAATCGGTAAATTATTATAACACTTTTATTACCAGAAACAATCACGTTTTCAACATTTATTTTCAAGATTGCAACAAATAGTGTTTGATTCTTGGCAGCCAAAAAAAAGATGTTTGAAGCAACATCAACTCTGTAGGATACTTTTTCATTTCCCCTCTCAATAATAACCTGAGTTACACAGTGTAGCTGCGTTCAACCAACCAACCAACCAACCAACCAACCAACGGACCAACTAACCAACCCACAGACTGACCAACCAACCGACCGACTGACTGACCAACTGACTGGCCGATTGACCGGCTGACAGACAGAACGATAGACCAACCAACCAACCCACCGACTGACACATCGACTGACTAACAGACCGACCCACAACCAAACAACCTACCAACAGACTGGCCAACCGACTGACCGACCGACCGACCAACCAACCAACTGACCGACAGACCAACAGACCGACAGACAGACAGACAGACTGACCGACCAACAAACCGACCAGCCAACCAACCAACCAACAAACCAACTGACAGACCGACTGACCAACCAACCTAAAAACCAACCAACCAGCCAACCAACAAACCAACAAACAACCAACTGACCAACCAACCGGTTGACTGACTGATTGATCGACTGACCAACCAACCAGTCAACATATAGACTGATCTACTGACTGACCAACTGACTGACCAACTGACTGATCAACTGAGTGACCGACCAACCAACCATTCAACCAGCCAACTAGCCAGCCAACCAACTGACTGACCGACTGACTGACCGACGGTCAGTCAACCGACAGACTATCCGGCCAACCAACAAACCAACCAACCAACCAACCAACTGACAGACCAAAAGACTGACTGACAAACCGACCGACCAACCAACCAACCAACCAACCAACCAACCAACCAACCAACCAACC